GAGCAATAAAGTGCAAATTTATTGCTCAATTTTTTATGAGCAATTTCCTGTTCAAGCAGCGCCCACTTCACATAATTATTCTTGCCATGCCTTTTTTTTTTCTTTGGTTTATTAAATTTAAATATGTTTTTATTATCAAGGCTAATAATCATAATTTATATATTTTTTAGAAATTATATATATTAAATTAAGTAAAAACATATTTATAAAACATGCAATTACATAAGATAAATGTAATATGATAATGAGGAATATTATTTTTGTTACACAATGTATGTTAATTACAATGGGAACCTATGAACTGAATATGATGATTTCAGTTCTTACAAAATGAACTAAAACAGAATCGAAACTACAAAAGAGAAGCGGAAAAAATGCCGAGGCGATTGCTCTTTCCGCAAGACGAAAACGCCCCGTATAGTGCTGACGGGTACAGGCGTTTCGTCCCCAAAGATACAACGGCTTACGTCTCGAACGCTGTAGCACACCAGAATTCAAGCTCCGACGAACTGGAATGAAGTCGAGAACAGAGCAGTATGATATGATGCGTGAGGCTTTGAGAATAATCAGAGTGCATGAAATGTTGTGTGTCTTTCACTTGCAGCTCTAAGTCCTATTTATAGGACTTCCACCTCTGAGGGAGAACCAAAGGTTACATCAACTAGTGCATGAAATGTTGTGTGTCTTTCACTTGCAGCTCTAAGTCCTATTTATAGGACTTCCACCTCTGAGGGAGAACCAAAGGTTACATCAGCCACTTAAGGCTGAGATAAATGGCACCATTAACCTGAAAAGGTTTCAGGTATTACTACACCATTAACCAGGTGTTACTACACCCTTAACCAGCCATCAGGTGTTACATTTCACATGAAAGGTCATGTGCCCAGATTCATTGTACATGGAGAGGTCTCACTCGGGTTGGGTAGGACCAAGGACCAAGTCCCAAGTCCCAGGCCCGGGCCCGGGCCCGAGCCAGAGCCAGGCGGCCGGCCGGCGCGCGCGAGCGCATGTGGCCGAAAACAACACCAACATTTGGTGCATAGCTTTGTGCTTGTTGTAACCTCTCCAACTCTCTTTATTATAATAAAGAGAGTTAAACTCATTTAAGAGTCCAATGTGGGAGTGACTCTTGACCCTTCTCCCACCACCAACGTTTTACGTGCCCTTTTATGGCTAACTTTAACAATTTATTTCTCACTCACCGAAAATTAGTTTTGAGAAAATAAACATACCACGAGTATCTACTCGGAACGTAGAATTTTTCTACAATATTTAATTCAACTCAAATTAAATATTTAGCCATAAAAAATTCAGTCAAACCTGAGTCAAATCCAAGTTTTACAACTGATTTTTCCAACAATTTTTAGTTACCATGCGAGGAAGAGAGATAAAGAGACAGGACAGAAAGCCCAAAGATGTGATTTGACCATAGACCATAAAGAGGTTTGATGTGGGCTACGTTTGTAGGTAAATTGGGCTTTCAGATTTATCTTAGCTTAGGCCCGTTTGTAGATATGTGATTTCTGGTTACTAACGCATACAATTTAATATTTGTTCGGTACAAAATAAGGAGGGCTAAGGCCTAGGAAAGTGATGAGTCTAGGACTCGTTTCGGGCGCAACACCCCGACGAGATCATGAGCAATCCATGCACCCAAATCGGAGGGAGGAGAAGTCATACGCTACAGCCCCAAGTAGAGGAAAACATCAAGCTCGCCATAAAGTCGGCCGCATAATTAGCTTTCATGTGCACATGTTGAATCCTCACTCGCCAATCTTTTTGCAACAAGCTGCGAATAGCCCTGAGCAAAGCATCATT